TTCCAAAATGTTGCCTGTAATGCCAGCTCGTTGGCTCGATCTCTGTGTCCCTGTCCATCTCTGTGTCCATGGACAATGGGCAGGACCTTTGCAGCACTCGGCCGCTTACTTCGGTTTAGTTAGCGTAGAGTTCTATCGTTTATGATCGACCATTCCAGGCTGAGGTTATGCAGAGAGACAGGCAATATGGCTGTAATGCGGCCATCGTCAGTTGCCAATGTCACCGAGTCAACCCCACCCGAGGGCCGCCCGCAGTGGGCGCCCCCTGAGGTGGGGCGTCACGGGGACTCACGAGGAGGAGACCGGGATGAACGCGGGACCGGAGGCGGGTGTCCTGGCCGTTTAACGTTAGCCGTTTGACGGTTTAACGAGTCTTTAGACGTTTGGTGATGAATGCAGTGGAGCAGCCGGGGGGTACAGGACACGCGTGCCACTTCCCCGTCCCACTGTTAGGTCTCGAGAGGCTCGAGGGCCCGATGGGACAGGCGATCAGGGGCCCGCTGAGGGCAGGGGGAGGGAGGGGGGCACAAAGGACCAACCGGAGGAGGCATTAAGAGACTTCGGCCTATAAGGCAGTGCCCTCAAATGCCATTCAGTGCGTCTCTCGCACCGGTCGGAGGTCCCCTGGGTCAACGAGGGCCTCTGGCGGTCAGAGAGCATCGATACCGAACAGTCGGCAACGTGTCGGTCTGGGCATTAGGGACTCCTTTCCAAAGCAGAGACAAGGCCCGAAAACACGATTGTGATTGAAAATTTTTGCATTTGTCAGGGCCTTGAAACAATGGGGGCTCTCCGTGGTGTCAGGGGTTCACAGTGCCAAGCAGGGTATCCATTACCCTGTTCTGGCGGGGGCTGTTGATCGGCAAGGAACACATTTGCTGAACAGGGACAGGGACGGAACACCGAAAGTCAGAGAGTTTCCTGCCTTGGTCTGAGCCTATTGCAATGAAAGGATATATGATCGAGGACGACGAACGATTTCGTATTCACATGATCTACGATGAGTTACAGGCGCAAACTGCAAGTCGATACCAGAATTAAACCCACCCAACATTTTTAATCACAACATAATTTCGGAAACTCCCTTTGCCTCAAGAATTGTTCGGTGAGGTTATTGTGACATGAAACCGGAGTGACCCGACTCATCAGTTAAAACACAATGAGCCATGATGCGTACTGGAACCCATAACCAATCTAGAGCTCTAAAGAAGCGTTCATGGTGAGTGTTGATCAGGTTAGAAAGTCCAAAAATGTGTACTATAAGAAAGCATTTTACAATACGCTTTTGACCTGAGCTTAGGCGAAACGAGTCGTGATTTCGTCATGAAAAGTCTTGAACATTTTTTGACGGGCGCTGTGTGCTCATGAGTTGCACCAAACAAATTGAATGAGGACGTTAAACATCTCCCAGTCAATGGAAGGTTAAGGCAACAGTGCCATCCTCGGAGGTATCACAAAAGTCATCCATGTATGAATGCTCTGGAATAGTTAACCACAGTCAAGCCAATAGTTGAGCACAGGACACAAGAATGCGCCTGGGTCACCTACACCAAGCACCAGGGATTTTGATTAAAATGCGTCGTATAGAGCTGGACAAAGCTGTTAAAGACACTACCTGAATCAGACATGGCGGCAGCCAGAAGCGAGCCAGCGGATGGGCCGGTCAGTTGGTTTGAACGGTCCAATAGGTTCGCCTCGATCAGTTGTTGACAATGCTCTGGGGCTTCTGACCACTCATGGGGTGTCTGTCATGCGCGCTGGCCTAAGTCACCATGTCACGACTGCGTTGGGGAGTTTAGAATAAAGTGCTGTGATCGAAATACGGTAAAACAAGATTTCATTTAAGCTAAACGTCGCCAAAAAAGCTAGTCGTAAAAGTGCTGCGATTGCAAGTGCATTACACCAGAGCAAATATCGGACAGTATGTCTTTCATTTGACATCCTAATAACAGGCAAGGAGTCTGCTGGACGAATTCCGCAGAATGAGCACTTCTAATACCAATTTTGGGTTCATGGTGAACAATCTCATAAAACAGTTTGTGCGGTCAAAATCGGACACGATAATCTACATGACTGCTGGTAAAGCTGAAAATACGCTTTAAAGAAAGGGCACACCCTTTAGCCAGCGACAGTTTACTTGCCTCAGTATTTTGAGAATCTCAACCGAAGGTTGAGGAACTAATGTGTGCACGTTTGCACAGATTTACGTGCATACCATGTAGGTCTGCGGACATGGTCCCCATACTTGCACCAAGTGAATCATTCATGTCACAACGATGTTGCGGAGAAAAAGTTTGGCACAAGGTTTGACACATACAGATCCCGCCAAGGAAGCCAGTGCATAGGTGCCGTGTGTCTATGTCCTGGACAGAAAGAGTTGTCCTAGTATAGGTATCTGGAAATGAGCCTAGTCGCTCAGATAATAAAAGGCGTGCTGAAATGAGTGGAATGGCCCTTACGAAATGAACATATTTGCACGAAAAGGCTAACTGACAGTGAAAAGGACGGCAAACCCCATCTTTTAATGTGGAATGATAGCGTTTGTTGGCCTCTCGCCCTGCCCCTGCGCCTACGATCATGAGGAGGATGTGCAGCCTTACTGCTGTATGAAAGAGCCTACTGCTGTATTCCTCGTAAACTTACAGCTGTGTGAAGACGCCGAACACCAGAAGGGTATCATTGGCACGTCATCGCCTAGTCTGTAGAGGAACATCCAGATGTCCAGACATCCAGACATTTATTAGGCTTGCCCATTGCATCGCAGCACACATTTTTCTTTGTGAAAGCTTCGCTTTCACAATGCCTCACTCGGGCCGCCAGTAGATGCCGACATGAGGCGGTGCATATGAGCATGGCCGCGCGCCCGGGCGCCGGCGCCGGTGCCGGCCGGTCCTGACCGCAGCTCGTCCCGGGCGCCGGCGCCGGCCGGTCCTGGCCGCAGCTCGTCCCGGGCGCCGGCGCCGGCCGCGTCCTGACAGCAGTCGTCGGGGCGCCGGTGCCGGGTCCTGCCGCAGCTCGTCCCGGGCGCGGCGCCGGCCGGCTGGCCGCAGCTCGTCAGGCGACGGTGCCGGCCGGTCCTGACCGCAGCTCGTCCCGGCGCCGGCGCCGGTGCCGGCCGGTCCTGACGCAGCTCGTCCGGGGCGCCGGTGCCGGCCGGTCCTGACCGCAGCTCGTCCGGGGCGCCGCGCCGGCCGGTCCTGACCGCAGCTCGTCCGGGCGCCGGCGCCGGCCGGCGTCCTGACCACAGCTCGTCCGGGCGCCGTGCCGGCCGGTCTGACCGCAGCTCGTCCCGGGCGCCGTGCGCCGGCCGGTCCTGACCGCAGCTGTCGGGGCGCCGGCGCCGGTGCCGGCCGGTCTGACCGCAACTCGTCCCGGGCGCGGTGCCGGCGCCGGCCGGTCCTGACCGCAGCTCGTCCGGGGCGCCGGTGCGGCCGGTCCTGACCGCAGCTCGTCCGGGCCGGTGCCGGCGCCGGCCGGTCCTGACCGCAGCTCGTCCCGGGCGCCGGTGCCGGCCGGTCCTGACCGCATCTCGTCCGGGGCCGGTGCCGGCCGGTCTGACCGCAGCTCGTCCGGGCGCCGGTGCCGCCGGGTCCTGCCGCAGCTCGTCCCGGGCGCCGCGCGCCGGTCCTGACCGCAGCTCGTCCGGGGCGCCGGTGCCGGCCGGTCCTGACCGCAGCTCGTCCCGGGCGCCATACAGCGCCGAGAGAATAACCGCTCTGCCGGCCCTGCGCAGCTGGCTAGCCGCTGACTGGCAAGCTGGGCCACACCAGCGCTGCGAGAGACGATAGGGGGGGGGGGGGGGGAGGGGAGGGTTGGAAGGGAAGTGCGTCATCTTGGAGCGGATGCGTGCGGGCGCCACGGAACAGGGACGCAAGAGCGATGTCGCGGAGTCGGGAGCAAAGTGGCCAACGAGTGATGTCTGTCGGGGTGAAAAAGTAACAGCTTGCTGCCATACGCACTTCAGATTTTCCAGTTGATTTTAACATTAACTTGCTGGATAAATTTCAGAAGCATCCACCGTTGCTGGCGAATTTGGGTGACTTGTTTTAAGCGCATTAATGTGTCTAACATCTATATAGTACACGTAGACTGAATGTTAAGGCCGATAAGCCACCTATCCGGTATAATGCAAATAGCTTTAAAGCAGGCTTGCGTTTTATATAAAAAACATTTTATATTTTAGAGACATCTGCCAGTATAGTGTTCCGACGTCCGTGCCTGTCAGCAGGCCAGATTATTGAGAAATAACGTAGGTCCCCGCTAAGCTCACAGTTGGCAGTGAACGTGAGAGCCTCTCAGTGTCCTTAACGAAGGTCCTCGCTAGCTCACGTTGGCAGTGAATGTGAAAGCCTTCAGTGTCCTTAACGAAGGTCCTCGCTAAGCTCACAGTTGGCAGTGAATGTGAGAGCATTTCAGTGTCCTTAACGAATCACTGACTTCCAGAACTTCTACATACCATGCGCTGACTTCCAGAACGAATGTGGAGCGTTCCATTTCGACCCTTACACCTAGTTTCCAAGCACTTGAAACGTTATTAACCAGCGACGCGTGGCCAAACTGCTGATCATTTTCATTGTCAATGTGCCTTATTTCGAGGCGTGTGGCTGCGAGGTCGAGCAGAGTGCGATGGCACAGGTCCAGAACAGCGACCGCCTCCGGCGCCGCCGCCCGCTCGGCCCAAACGAGCCGTGACGTCAGCGAGCCTAATTTTAGAGACAGCAATCCACCGCCACTTTGACCAGGTGACCCCGGTCGCAGCGGCATTGCACCGTTCTCGGTGCTTTCCCGGTGCGAGCCACTGGCCACAGTCGACGTCAGCTCCTGATTGTGCCTCAGGCCACCGCCGTCGCGCCGTTCGGTCTCCGACGTCGCGGCGGCGCGCGGAGTCGTGCCGTCGTCCGACCGGCGCGCGGCCCGGAGCCAAAGCAAGCGGCGCCGGCTGCCAGCGGGGCCTCGGCGGGTCCAGGCGCCGCCTCGCCTCGCCCTCCAGTGGAGTCCGGCCGAGCGCCGCGTCGCTGGTGCCGAGCAACGAGTGAACCGAGCCGAGTCGCCGTAGGGAGCTGAAGCCGAGCATCGGAGGGAGCTGGAGCTGAGCTGCCGGAGGGAGCTGGAGCTGAGCGGCCGAAGGGAGCTGGGGCTGAGCTGCCGGAGACCAGCTAGAGTTGAGCCGCCGGAGGGAGCTGGAGCTGAGCTGCCGGAGGGAGCTGGGACTGGGCCTCTGGAGACTAGCTGGAGCCAAGCCATCAGGGGGCGGCCAGAGCTGAGCAGCCGGAGGGGAGCCACACGGCTGACGGCCGCCTGAGGGCAGCGCCTCGACAGCGGGGCTGCGGGCGGTACCGGACGAGCCCAACAGCACGAGAGGCGCCCGCGGTCACGTCCGGTCATGTATGTAAGCCGTGCCCACCGGCAGCAGCTGCCACGCCAGCTCTAACTTTTTGTCCGAGAGGAATCGACCGACGACGACTTTTCAGCGGCTACAGCGCTCGTAGCAAATAACGCCTGTAAGCAACACGTTTTGGCCCGGACTAGCCGTTTTACCTGTGATTTCATGCAGCTTTGATTTGTGCTTGTGGCACGTTACCTGGTATTTTGAAATTTACGTGCCCGCATATTGTTTTATTAATCGTTTTCATTTACAAGCTGGCTCATTTTTTTATATCGCAGGGAACCAGAAGTCAATTTCACAAAGCACAAAAGCAAACTTTATTAGCTGTGAATCTCACCGTAAGGGCAACCGGGCCAAGAACTTGACGGTTCCGTCAGTTAGTCAGTTTTGTCTTTGTCCTGAGAACAGACAAAGCGAGAAAAAATGACCTGTTTCTGGTACATATGCTGTAGGATTAGATATGCATATGTTATAGTTGTCACAGCTGGCTTTATGCTTTGTGAAAATGGCTTAATCTTTGTGAAAAGTTCTTAGCGTTAACACTAACAGGGCGTAATTAATTTCTCAGCTCTAAATCAAGGTGCTGTAAACCATTACGGTTATGCTCACGTTCTCGGTCGCCTTCTGGCAAGCGCAACCATTGGGCCTAAAGTAACCCGAATCATCATGATCGTGCATGCCTTGGTGCCTAGACCCACAACATTAGCAGGAGTTGCTAGTTGAAAGGCAATACGTCCAACATTTGGGGCATATCCAAGGGGGTTTGTTCGTTGATCGCACATGATTCAAGAAAGCTGTTTTTCGCGCGTTGAATAATCTGAGATTTACAGGTCTTCCTGTTCAGAGCACGAAATAAGCAGATTATAAAAGAAGAAGCCCGTTCAGCCCAGAACATGAACAGGGGCTTTTAGTAACAGACCGCCCGATCTCCAAAGCCCGTAATCGATGACTCATGATGATAACCTTCCATGGTAAATGAAAGTGATCCACATGTTGGGTTATCTGTTGTGCGTTCGTTAGTCTTGCACCGCGTGGGCTAAGTATACCTACCAACTGTCGAGATATAGTTCGTCAGTTGCCGCCACATGGGACAACTGCTTCCGCTGGCAGCATTTTTAAGCTTGCCATGCTGTTCTGAATGATCTTGAACTGAACTTGACCTTGACTTGACTGAAAGTCAGGACCAAGGATTACCACTGTCTCATATCATGACCAGTTTCTGATGTAGCAGTTAATAGCTTGTTGTTTGTTGTTAACGTTCACGCGGTAATGGCCGGCCAATCCGGCAAGGATTGGTCTTCGCCGGGCTGGCGTACACCATACGGTTTTACCGCCTGTTCCAAACCACTCAGTGCATCGAAATTAAATTTTGGCGAGTTTGTGTCTGTCCGGCACTGGTTGCAACTGACCTGCAACTTTACATGTCCGATCACGCCAGGTCACTGACCCATGCCTAGGCTCACACACCTGTAGGGGGCGAAAATATAGAGAAAGACCTTGCTATGGACGCATTCTTAATGCGCGATGAGCCAGATCTTTTAGAATATTTTTGAAGATCTGGAGTGGTTGTGCAATGAACGTTGTCAAGGCTCAGGAATGTGTGAAAGCTAGTTGACGTCGTGGCCACATCAGGTCAAGTCATGAGAGCTACACGAAAGTGGTGGGTGGGCTGGTGGGCTTGTTTTAGAAGGCATAAACACCGTTGTTGTCTCAGAATTGCATGTGTTAGTCGCCCAAAGTCAAGCGATATCCTGACTTGATTTCATACGGATTCATTTGGGACGTAAGAAAATGATGGCCCTAATTTCCTGAAACCAGGATTGCGTTCACTGCCTCAAATACACACATAAGACCAAACAGGAATTTTGCGTTTTGTTTGATATGATCTAGCAGTTCAGTCATGCATGCCATATAACCTAATAGTTAAAATGACCGAGTCGAACGTCTGCATCAAGACGCGGCGCTGCCACCCCGTTCTGGAGTGGTTGCACGGGAAGATCGGGGTGGTACCGGCAGAGGACGTGTGCCCAACGCTCCTGAAGGCGGGCAAACCGGCAAGTTGACGCGAGTTGACACTGCTGCTTGTTTTTAACCGTGACGCGTGCGGTGACGCGCAGATGCGGTATTTCCGTTAGATTTGTGATGATGTCTTTCATGCATACATAAGTGAGTTTGTCATGCACTGACATCTACGCAGAAGTAGTCTTAGAATATTTCATTTGACGGGATACGTAGCACGGACACTTTCACGCACAAGCGTTTAAAAAAGAGAGTAAATTGCCTCAAGTACTTGGTTATCGATGGAATAAGTCTGCTTTGAATAAATACAACATGCACTTACCGAAAGCATGAGAACTATTTCTGCGCTGCCGAACACAGGTATCTGCCCCAAAACGTTTCAGTGATTGCGTTCTCGAAAATGAAACAGCATCATTCGGTTACAACCAAGAACGCGTGCATACGAAATCTATATTACGCACCAAAAGCACATGAAATCTACGTCAACCGGAAAATTCTGCTGGTTTCCTGCTGGTTAAGTTTCCCTCGTGTGTTGCGTTCTGATGTACAAAATAATGACTACACGAGGAGCTGTATTGTCATTTTCCGAACCGACTGCGAGGATTTTTACTCGAATTCTTATCCTCCGCACCCTTCCGTCTTTTACTCCCATATTAACTTCACTGCCTCATGCGATGTTTGGATGATGATGTCATGTCATTGCGGTATTCAACAGAATGATATGGGTTACCGTCGTGTTTGATCACTCAGCACATGGTGACAAAAGCAGACGTGTTTTCTTGTCACGATATGACTGGGGTTAGTTGTCACGGCATGACATTCTCTGGCACGCCACTGTGTTTTTAACACTTTTGGCTCCTGAAAGGACAAGGCCCCAGAACGTGCATTCGTAGCAAACAACAGATATCTGGTACGTGGATGGAGAGATCATAAGTTACTGTATTAATTGAATGGTAGGCACCGCACATGATTGCTATACACGCAAGGGCACCGGCAGAAGTTCAGACATGGGCAGCGAGTTCCTACAATTTTTTGGCACGTAGTCCCACTTCTGTTAGCAGTAGCCCGCGCTGCGGAGAAACTGCAAGCTTCACAACGTTAATGGGTACAGTGCCAGACGGATCAATGGCCTGTCACTGTTGCTTTACCGCGGCGCCGAGAACTATCTCAGCCGCAAACCAGGCGCCGAGGGCCGTCTCAGCCGCAAACCGTGCAAATACGCTCGGCTATCATCTAATCCCGTCATCAACTTACTGTTGCTGGACACGACGCCTCACTGCCCATGGTATTTGATGTGATTTACATCCAAAATGATATCGCTGCTCATCGGACTGCAGAAGTATGTATTTCGTTGCAACGCTGAAAAAGCTGCGCTCAAACAGACGGGAGATGGGTGACGACAGGGTGAGCAGGGAGATAGGAGAGGGGTGATGAGTTAAGTACCATAAGCCCACGCGCCTTAGCTGCGTCTCTGGATGTATGTAGTGCACTTGTTGCTTTAAACTACTGAACGTTTCTATCACTTCTTAAGTAATTGAAGACGTAACTATATGCATCGCGAACAATGATTTTAAATGCATGCTTGTGTTCAGTTTGTTGCTTTCTGAAAATACCAACAGCTATGACCATGTATTTTGCAAAGATGGCTTGGTTGAACGCTGTTTGGTTTTAGCGAATCTTTGACTTTTTGTACCTTGACAGTCTCCGAAGTTAACGCTTGTCCATCATCCTGTCAATCGGGACCAGTTAAATTCCGTTTTGCTCACGTCACTCACACCGTTCACTTAGCCTTTTTGCGTTGGCTCTCTTAGCCGGGTACGACCAGCGAAGGACCCGTCGGGAATGCGTTACCATGGTTACTGTCGTGTGTTTTGCGAGTCCTCCATGAACGCGCCAGTGCGGTAACTGCGGGGCTCGATCGTGCCCTACAGCGCCACCTATATCGGGTTTATTCTCGTGCCGCGCTGGCGTGGACCTTTCAGCCTGTGCTGGAACCGAGCCAGGTGAGCGGGCAAAATGAAAACACTGCCAGCAGTAAACAGGACTATTCTGGTTTAAGCCCCTGTTCGACCGGATATCGTGTAAACGTGTATGGACCTTAAGCCGAAAGTCGCGCGGGTCGCGATCCACGCGTCACACGAATGCGATCAAACAGGGCAGCTGGGGTCATGCTTCAAGAGCAGCGTTGCAGAATATCTGCCGATCGTCAGGCTATATGACACACCACCTCCCACACATGTGAGCGTCGCTGTAAATGTTGAAACCAAAAAGATAGGTAACTTATGCAGATAATTAAACATGAGTACTTCACGACGCAAAACGATAATACACTTCACCTGTCCTCATTGTAGTGCTCTTAAGAACTGTTACGTCAAAATGACTAACAGTTGTGTTGGCGAAATTACAAAGTCCCGTATAAGGAAGCTGCTGAATTTAACCCCGGTAGCTTATCAGATGATTTCTTCAATTTCACTCTATGGGTCTCTGTGCAACAAAAATTAAAAAAGTCAGGATCTGTTTTTCATGTAATGCTGCAGCGACCCACTTTCTTTACCCCATGCTTCAGTTGTTCTTTTTCAAGCAATTTCGAAAACGTGACGATTATTAAATGAAAAACACATCCCATCATGCCGCAGATTTCCACTTTGAGCCAATTAAAGTGCATGTCAGCGCGAATGACCAGCATCATGTTTGTATTAGTTAACGAGTCATTATGTCGCATACTCGTATACGTAATGTATTGCTGTGGCCACTGTATGTCGACAACACTCAGCCAACTACCCTATTGTGATTCGCGGGATCAGTATTGCATCATGAGAAATTAAAATATTCAGAAATGACCCCCACAAAATCCAAATAAGCTTGAACATCATCTTACTATCAGGTGTACACGTGCAGGATACGACCTATATTCAATAACGTTTCAGGAGTTTGATGGCCATGGTCATGCTAGGCCATGGCCAGATTTCGAGCGCTTTAA